ATCATGATTTGAAATAAGTAGCATTAGTTAATTTTATATGGGATTTATGCATGACTATAAAGATCACATTCTCTCTTTTACTTACCTGGTAGATTTTAGCATCTCTCATTAGTTTTTCTACAGGATATTCAGTATTAAATCCATTTCCTCCAAAAATCTGTACCGCATCTGTAGCTACTTGGTTTGCAACGTCACCAGCAAATGCCTTCGCAATGGAAGCAAAGTAGGTGTTCCGGCGACCAGCATCAACCTCCCACGCAGCTCTCTGGTACGCCATCCGAGCGAGTTCCACTTTCATTGCCATGTCCGCAAGCAAGAAAGACACTGCTTGGTGCTATGAGTAATGAAATAAACGAGGTTAACATTGCCCACTTCAAATTCTATGACATCCAGGACAAATATAATCTTCTTACTGCAGCGATCTCTCCAACAAACTCAGTAAATGGCACCAGAGGAGTTCCACAGAATAGGGATCAGGCTCTCAGAATTTTATGTTGAACTAGACTTTTAATTTTTTAATTCTAAAATCCATGTAGTCATAGGAATTAAATACCAGATTACGGAGTTGTTCTTTGCTATCTATGAGATTGCCTTTTACCTTGCTGTTTATTCCTATTTCTTTAAAACTGGTAAGAGGCTTTGATTGGCAATGTATTCTGTCAGTATTAATACTGTCCATTTGGTTTCATATACCTCAGCGTTTTTTTTTGTTTCCTGAAAATCCCTGTTTATTAGCTCTGAAGAACTTAATTATGTCCTGATAGTACACGAGTTTCAGGATCTTGCACAGCTGTCTTAAATTACAGAAAAATTTCTGAAGTTACCACATACTTAAGTTTACTTAAATGGTGCTGTCCTATATATTTGGAAACCCAAAAATGGCAGAGATCTAATATAAAAATTAAGGAACTAAAAAAAAAAAAAAATCAAGGAATAACCTTGTAAAGCAGTAGTGGTACATATGGTGTGAAAACATAGCTTTTATCCATATCCCCTTTCTCCCCCTGCTGCCCCAACTTACTTCAACAATTGGTTTCCCAAAGGTTTTTCTCTCCAAAGCATATCTAGTAGCTTCATCAAGTGCTCTTTT